TCAGAGCTACTAAGATAAAAATTTGTTTGTTTAAAATTTTTAATTGCACGATATGGAAAAAAAATGTGACACACAAAACACAGTCTTATCTGAAACCTCGGAGAGGGCCTTCCCGATCCTGACGGAGCTTTTGGTGTTGCTCGACGTCAAGTCGGGTGCGCCTTCTCATGACGTTATGCTTTCACTGCCATTATGCAGGCTAGAGGAGTGTACCATCCATAATTTAGGTATATTCTAAGCTTCAGTTAGTCTATGACTCATAATTATAAAATTATTTAATAAGTAGAGTTGATTAATGGGAAAGAAAGTAGCTTCTTTAGTTGATTTTCTATTAAAAATGTTATAGTGGCTTATATACGATAGAATTTTGTACATACACAGACATGTTTATGTAGGATAAATTTGAACAAAATGTAAATTTGCGCTTGTGCAGTAACGCTTTAATTGTATTAAGCAAACACACTATTACTATTATAACAGCGCATGTTCCATATGAGTCACGCCTTTTATAGTAACCAATTATTGAATTCATAACTATTATTTCCTCAAATACGCAGGTGCTTGCAATCTATAAAAAACAAATTGTGTATTGCTGAGGTTTGGTATAAAACTATCACAAGGCTATTTAATGAATGTAAAAACTTCACTTTATAGAATGCTGATGATAACATGATTCTTGTATCTACATATTTTATTTGACTTACGTATACGTATGCGACATATAAAGGTTTGCGGTACCTATAACCCTATATATTTTTTAATCAGAAGGACTTCCTCTTTCCAACGGTACATTCAAATCGCGGCACCAAAGAAATCGGAATTGTGCCAATGGTTTTTCCGGAACATTTGCAAATATATTTACAAAATAGTAGGATCATACTTTAATGAGTGCTACTAGTTGGAGAGATATTTAATACTTTGTACTAGATTTATAGTTCGCATACGTTGTATAGCTAATTCATATTCGTTGCCAGTGCCCACACATAGTACTTTGCCCAGATAAGATACCGACAAGATGCTGTGCTTTGCTACTTCCCAAAACCATGAATGAAATATGTAAATTTGTATCATAATATGTAAATTTCAAGACTCAAATTCGAGCTCAGTTCTGCTTTTATAGTTGGGTTGACGTGTTGCGATCACGTTCGCGCATCCGCTAATTGATAAAAATGCTAATCACAAAAATTACAGTACATAGAGTAGTATGAACAGTTGACGATTTGCAGCGGGTGCTTGAATATGTAATATTTTAAAGATGATTGTACACATTATTTACATACATATAGTATATTGTATGGACAATTTGTAGAGCAAAAAACGTAGCATGAAGAGTTACTGATTTCGAGCGGTAATGCTGAAGCAATTCATCATGACTTCCGTTGAGTATTTTTTTTAAATAATTTAAACACCAACTAATCTAACTATCCATACGCATGTTGTTGTTGTGGTTTTAACGGTTATCAGTCCCCGTTAGGATGGTGAGGGTTATCAGCGTTGTCGTCGACGTCATCTAACGGGAGGCCCAAGAAATATGATGTTTCAACGGGGTCGGACCAAAGGGAAATGGGTGCTAGATGGGTGGGGTTGGTTGGGCATCCAAAGAGGTGGTCAGTGACATGCGAAGACTCGTTGCATGCCGGACATACATTAGGTACGTCAGGGTCTGTTCTGGATAAGTAGGAGTTTAGCCTGCTACAATATCCAGAACGAAGTTGCGCCAGGGTCACTCGCGTTTCTCGCGGCAACTCGAGCTCTTCGTCTGCTATGGGTGGTGGYTTGACTCCTAGTACGCCATTCACGGCAAGGGAGTCGGTGAAGGTGTTGATGGCTCCACTGTGAATGGCGGTCAGTRCCTGTCGAAAGTCTGTTGCGTCCGAGGTCCTGTCGGCATATTGTACGATGTCGGCGACGTGGTCAAGGAATGACCTATTGATGCTCCTAGGAGGCGGTTCCGCTCCAAACAGATAACAGCAAGGATGATTTCTACGAAAGGGGCCCAGCAGCAACTGCTTGGAGAGGAGTTCATTATGCTCCTTAACTGGCAGCGTAAGCGTCTCACTGTGTAGGTGTTCGATGGGAGACATCAAGAGGCATCCTGTCGTGGTCCGGAGTGCTGTATTCTGGCAGGTCTSGAGTTTCCTCATCTGCGTGCCACTGCATCCAGGCGACCATATGGGTGCTGCGTAGTTAAGGACCGGCCGGCCGATTGCCTAGTAAGTTGCCAACAACGTGTCTTTGTCTTTTCCCCATGTGCTGGCGGCTAGCGACTTGAGGATTTTGTTGCGGCTCTGTACTTTGGCGATAATCGCGGTCGTATAGGGATATAAGGAGCATAGACTGTCGAAGGTGACACCTAAAATCTTAGGGTTATTRACAGTCGGAATTTTGACGCCGTCGACTGCAATATTAAGTTCCAGTCTATACTCCTTCGTCCAGTTCGTGAATATGGTCGCTGTGGATTTGATGGGGGAACTGTGCACTTTTCGGAATCCATGCTGGTGGCTGGCTAGGCTCAGGTGGTGAGTAACAATTCCTCAAGTGTCTTCACTACTGGGGAGAGGAGAGTTATCGGTCGATAAGATTCGTCTTTGTTGGCGGTTTTCGCAGGTTTCAGTAGAGGGACCACTCTTCCGACTTTCTACACATCGGGTATTTGAGTGGTCAGCGACAGGTTGAGGACCTTGGTGAGATATCTTACTCCTGTCGAGCTAGGTGCTTTAGCATTAGCATGTTGATTCCATCAGGACCAATGGATTTGGAAGATTTTGCTTTGTTGATGACACCCTGAACCTCCTCATCGGTGAAAGTAAGTGGCGCGCCGTCGTTTGGCATTTTGCGCAGCCCTCGGTTAACACATCTCTTGGCTTTGTCTACCGAAGGGTGCAGTGTAAACTGTCGGCTAAAATAGCTTGCGCACTTCTTCGGGTCCGAAGAGGCATGACCATTGAATTGAACTTCAACTCGGTCGTCGTGACTCTTCGGGTTAGACAAAGCTTTGACAGTAGCCCAAAGCTTACTCACACCGGTGGAGAGGTTGCAGGACTTCAGGTGCTCTATCCATTTCGTCCGCTTATGATGGTTTACCATAAGCAGAATCTCCAAATTGAGATTAAGGTGTCGCGCTCATTAGCTAAAACGGCTGCTTCGGCTGGGAAGTTGGGGCGGATTTCCGCTATTCGTCCAGCTGGGATGAAGCGAGCTGTAGCTGTTGCGACCACATTGCGGAATTGACGTTCGCCAACGCATACGTCCGTAGGAATGGGTAGAGCGTTGAAGGTGCTCTCAGTAAATTCTGCCGACCCAGTTAGCTTTGTTAAAGTTAACGAAGGAACGGTTGTCCCCAGAAAAGAAATCGGCAGGCTCCTCGATCGAGATAATTATGGACAGATGGTCTAATGCGAGAGTTAGCATAGGTCGCCAGGTTATGTTTTTTATCAGACGACCACTAGCGATTGTAATATCGGGCCAAGTGCCCATAATTCTGGTGGGGGCTTCGTCACCCTGTAGGGCAACATGCAATTGGGGGGATGTATATATTAAATATTTCGAGCTCGACATCGCCTGRCCGGATAGCTATGCCCTGACATTCTAGGGTAGTATCCCTGCGGTCGATGTCTACATCGATTAGACGATACTGCCCGGTGTTGTGCAATATAAAGGCTAGGCCACGACCATTATCTCGCTCGCGATCTTTACGTATAACGTTGAAACCGGCACAACTCAGAAGATTTGAGCGGCTGTTTAGCTTGGTTACTTGATGCGCAGCTATCGATACGCGCTAGCGATTCATAAGTGCAACTATCTCCTYGATCTTGTTCTGGAGTCCGTTGCAGTTGAATTGAAGTAACCGGGTTTGTCGCGGGTGTCCGTGGGTGATCCTGGGGGTGAGGAAGGGGCGTGTGGGTGGTATTTGTTGCAGCTGCAGAACCCGCAGGGGCGGTTGTCGCACTGGGGTGTTGGTTGGCGGCGCCACTGTTGTGTTGCGCGGGGGCAGACTCCTGCAGCATGAGGCAACGTTCGACTCACTCCACTCACGTGTGGTGCGCAGGCCGGAACACGCCGGGAAGTGACACCAGCCAGCGCAAGAGTTGCACTTGACTGATKTGACGTTCCGACGTATGACGGCCTGACACACGGAACAGACTGTCCGAGGAACCAAGAGTTGCTGATTGGTTCTCGCACGAGGATTGGAGCAGGATGAAATTTGGAGTCCACTCGTGGTCCACTCCCTATGAGTCTTAAGGTCTGAGCGGGTCTTAAGATGGCACCATCCATTGCATGTATTGCATCTGACCGAGGTGGAGTTTGGATCGAGCCGTTTTGAGCATACGCAGCAGAAAAATTCCTCCGGGCCCTTGTTGGACTCAATGCCGGCATGAGTCAAGAGGATACGGAGCAACCCTGCTGCAAGGCGTTGCTCCAATGACCACAAACACAGATTAATACTCACCTATCCAAACGGGGTTAGATCGCCGAAAAAACAGCCCTTGGTCGGATGAAATCCGAGTCAATTCCGGTGCTTAGAACCGGCTGTCATGGGAATTGATCCATACAGCATCATAAGATATGGCAGCTTTATTCCTTTTTAATTGAAATATATAAAATTGTACATGACACCGTATGCAGTTTATAAATTGTACAAGTTTGCAATCACATTTATGGAAAAGCACACAAACCAAATTTGCTTTGGTAGACAAAACATCGCAACTACCCTTGAGACGTATTATAGCAGTAAAATGCAAACACAAAAGAAAATCTAAATCTCTTTTTTGTATACACACGATTTAAGTGGTTATTGCCACTTTTAGAGTTGCTCTATTATTGCCGCGACTACCAATTGTATCTGAACACTACCGCTAACACTCAACCCAAGCAAACATTGCTCCTTCTGCACCTTTGACTTCGATACTAGTTTGTTCAAGAGTTTCATTAATTGTTTTTTATTCAACTCTTCTATTTCTATTCTTTTTTAGTTCTGTATGCTGCTATTCAATACCTACCACAACTAGTGAGCCAGTCAACAATTTAATAAGCAATAGACGAACGAACACGCATACGAGTTATCGACCGAGAAGAGCGTGTGGGACCCGCCTTAAAGCAATCCACTCCAATTCACCTGTGGCCCCACTTATGACGAGTTTTTTTTTTGGTTTGTCACTTCTCATCGCCTTGTCCCCCCTGTTCAATGTGCACAAAAGTAACACCAACACCACAAACATTGTCAACTAGCCGTAGCTGTCGTCAATGGTATTGTTGTAGCTACGGTGCTGACGATATTTCTTCTTTTCTTATTTTTTGTTTCTTCTTTTATGCATATATTAATTATGCTTGTTGTTGCTGTTGCCCCACACTATGCTAAGCTTGATTGTTTTAAGTTTTCATGTTTGCCAGTAGCGTACTCCAGCAAAACCTGTTTGAATTACAACAAAAAAATATATACAAAACTCGCACCCATACATACACAAATAAAAACCAACACGACGCTAGCGGATACACACACATATGTACTTCTATGTACGTTTTATTGCTGCGTCCAGTATAAGCAGCTCGAAGAACATAGGAAACGGGTAATAAGTCCCAATTTCCTGCACTTTCAACTGGTTTTGCTACTCTATTTTCCACTAATTAGCACAGTTACAATTGATATTTTGCTTTCTCAAAGCTTTAATTGCACTTAGAACTCACCAAAAATTAGAGAAAACTTTAAAATATTAATTAATTTAAAACAACAAATAAACAAAACACAAATCTTTAGCACAATTTAATTCATTTGAGTGCGTCGGTGGCCATAGCTCAAAACACTCTCTATGTCTTCTGTATCTATACATAAAGTGGATGAATTTGATCAGCCACCAGGGTGGGCATGAATATTCCACAGGGTTGCATGTGCGTTTAAATATTTAGCTGTTGTAACAATTGGAATCACTTATGATCTCAAAAAATCATTTATTTTAATAAGTATTTCTAATATTTTAGGTTTCTTAAATTTTACAGCTTTATAAATAAATAGTTGTATATCTTTTATTTATTTTTTACTTATTAAAGTGCATTATTCCATTTTCTAAACTTTCAATTAATTCGCCACAACTGTGAACTGTTCTCCAAAAGTTTTTAATTCACTGTTGTAGCACCACAGTGGCTCTCAACTTACAATTTAAAAATCGATAAATTATGAATTTTGACATTTAGGATAAGTTTCTTTTGCACTGATAAGAAAAATTTCAACCCTCTTGGTATCGTCCAGCCGTGCAGTGGAATTTAAAATTAAAAATTCCTGTAGTACTTAAAATATTCTGCAATTTGGAATATGCTAAATTAAAAATAATATATTGCATCGAAAGTACAAAGATTTGCTAATTGTGCGGACTCTTTTGTGGAGAAAGTCAAATCTATAAGAATGGCTAAGTAAGTGATTATGTATATTATGTGTTATAACGACGGTTCCATAATGATGGCGACCTGCCATGCACTCCTTGATAAAAATTATTTATTAATTGGAAATATAATAAACCAATATTAATAGAAAAAGGGTTGTTCAAACAAATGTGCTTACATATAAAAATGTCCTATATTTTTTTTTGTGAAAAAATATATTCTATTCACCGTTGCCCCCCATCTACTTTTCATCATTTCCTTTTTTTAATGCTTCGCTTTCATGATAGTTCACACCAGCAATATAGTTGTGTTTACTTTTTTAAGAGCATCCATACTGACAACTGCAATAACAACATTCATATAAAAAAAATCATAGTGGGCTTCTAGTATAATTGATATGCCTAGTTCCTCCTCACACTTCATTCACAATAATATTATAATAACAAAATAAACGGACGAGAGTGTTATTCATTCAACTTTACTCTCATGTCTTCTCCTATTTCAATCGGCTAATTGCTATTTGTTTACCCTCCCCCACCCCACGATAATGGGAACACGCCTTATTATTTCCCACGACTTTTCAAATACGGTAAATCAACTATAGACTCCGTCTGCGAGGAGCAATTGTCAGTAAATGATAATTTAATCGGTTTGTACTGCGTTATTGATTATATTCTTAGAATGAGTTTGGAGACAAACATAATTGTATTTCAACCATCGTGATACTAGCTGCTATGGTACGAGAGGTAACTGCGGTACCAATAGTAGGGGCAGTGTTATCAGTTTCACTTTGGTGACGTGCTGTAGCGCTGTAAATAGCAAATACCTTAACACTCCTAAGTTGATAAACGCTCATTTAGTCGCGATTGTGCCAATAAGACAACACTACAACTCTGGCAAATCTACAAATTTCAATTAAAATCTCTTTTTCTTAACGTCAATATAAAATTGTAATATAAAAATGTTCAGTGGTTTCCGTAAGCCTTCACGTTTGCGTTGGCCTAAACTGGAGCGGGCCAAGAGAAGAAACAAGGAGAAAAGGTACTCTTGTCGGTTTAAAAGTCGATGACTAAAAGCAGTTAGTTTGGGTAAATATTTAAAGAAATTAAACTAAATATTTTGATATATTTACAGGGAGACTATGATTGTCTTCGTCTATGACACAGAATGTCTCAAGGACGAAGCAGATGATCCGGTGAAAGCAGTGCTCTACTTTCACCCAAGTTGGGTATCAGACACTCAGAAAGTGGCGCTTTGTGGGCAACTAATGGGTACATCATACTTCCTCAAGGACTGTTTCTGCAAACCGAAAATTATGGCTTTGCAAAACGGTAAATTTGTGTTAAAGGAATTTGGCAGATTTACCTTGGTTGGTGTATTTTTGAACAAGTTGAAATTTATTAGCCTTAATAAATACATTTTTGTGTGTCTAGGCTGTCGGCACGGACCGCAACATATCAGATTATTTACTCGAAAAACGTGCAGATTTGCTTGCCTCTCTTGTGAAATTCTTCCATCGTGATTTGCAAAGCCTCTTCGATCAGTTTCCACAACAAGCGCAATGTAAGAATCTCTCCGAAAAGCTATATCACATTTTCGAAACATATCTTCCGATTTTGCAACGTAACGGAAATATTTTCCAAAACGTACCCAAGCTGCGTATGCCGAAGGTTTGTAATTTTGTCATAACATGTGTAATTTAATTAATTAACCTTTCCCATGTGCTTACAGGCGGCTAGCAATATATTTTTGGATGCCATACAAACATTACAGTGCTGTCAGCAGACCACTGGCATATTGGGCGGCGCCGTACTTTACCATAACAAGTGTGTAGTGTTATATTCACATTGCAGATTTTATGGTTCATTCCTTTCCAGAGTGGTTGCATCTCAATTGGGCGATACTATAACTAAGCAGCTTGTTTTAACGGATCCGTTGCACATACGCACTACCGCCGAACTGATACACATCACAGATTTTCACATACCCAACGGCGTACAAATGCTAGTGGTTTATGTGGATGTGCCACAATATAACCGATTAGCAGCAGATGCACAGCGCGCTCAAACATTACAGACCACACAACTGTCACAGGGTCTGTTTCCGTTTCAGTATGCGAAGCGTAAACTGAAACGCGATAAATCGTTAATTTTCACCCACATACCAGAGGAGAGCAGCACCGCCGGCGGTGCGGCAGGTGAACTTGCGGAGGAGGAGAAGGAGGTGGGACAAACACTCACTACAGTTCGTTCAAAATCAATGCTGATACGCCCCACACATTTGCCTTTGCGTGTTCGCAACGGTATGGGCAGTTCGAAAGAGCTGCCTGAATCAGGCATTGCTTCGATAAATTTCGATGAGACTGATTCGTATCCGGAATTTATTGGACGTACTAGTGTGTGTTCCACACCAATGACTGAAAATAAAGTTCTTCAAGTAGGGAACATTATGTCCATCTGTGCTAATCCAGAGGTGAGTATAAAAAAATGAAAATTATTCAAATATAACTATATGTATCTTTTATTTGGCAGGATGAAAGCAACTCGAATAAGCTGAATATGCAAGATACCAACCGACGAAATTCGGTAAAATTTAGCTTTGAGAAATTCTTTCAAAATTTCATTGCTAATCCCAATAAGCAAATGGAGCGGCGCAACTCTTTCACCGACTTGCAAGATTCACTCAAGAAGATCTCGAAGAAATTATCACTCAAACACTTTTCGCACAGCTTTAAGACTGACGTCAATCGCAATGGCAGCATTAGCGGCATTGAGGCCATGGAATATCCTGATTTTATCGAGAATGACGATGATGTTGAAGCGGAGCAAAATTCCGACAACTCTGATGACAATAATCGCACATCCCGCACCATAACCGATCCCACCTATCCCGTTTTCAATGAGAATGGTCAACCAATTTCGCGTAGCCTCTTCCAAGAGTTCATAGAAAAATACTACCGCTTGTGGGTGGATAATGGCAGCGGTACTGGCAGCGGTACTGGCAGCGCCAAAAAGGAGGTAGAAATCGCACAACTCATTGAGGAATTCAAGGAGTTCGATAAGGAGCTTAAAAAACTAGACGAATCACTGTGCCGTCAGGACCTCGGCGATAATTGCAATAGCACACAACTCAAAACCGATCGTAACTTGAATACTGAACCAGCCACAGTGATGACAAAAGCGAAAACACCAATTGATAAGAAATCACTTAGCCTTCCACTGAAGCCACTCGCCGATGCAGCAGCCAACAATGAACGTGAACTGCCTTTTGTTATAGCGCATCGTAAGCAGACTGCTGGTGTGCCACTCACACCGCTCATGGCCAAACTCTCTGTGTTGGCGTTGAATGAGGAGCACAACGGCAGCGGCACTTGGGATGCCAATGCTGTGGAAATACAAACGCCACTAAACACGTCTAAAGTATTCTCTCGTCGCAACTCCTTGATATGTGATGACGCTGTGGATGCCTTAGCGACATTGTCTACAAACACACAGTCCACAAGGAATGGTTTGAAGAGACTGGAGTTGTACATGTGTGGGCAGCAAAATATGACCCTGCTGCTGTTAATGGAAGAGGGAACGGCGCGCCTGCAGCCCGTTGTACAGAAAATGGTAAGTTGATACATTTTGGAATTGTTTTATTGTAAGATAATTATTAAATATATAATCTAGCATTTGTTTATATGTATCTATTTCATTAAATTATTACTTAATTATGTTTTTTCAGTTCGATGTTTGTGTTGCTAAATTTCCGCATATGGAATCGCATTTAAATCAAGCGCTCAATGTCAATGTAGAAGGCGATAAGCGTGACGGCGCCTACAGTTTCATGAGTATCGATGCGAAATGGGATACGTTGGAGCGTAATGGACTATGGAATCCGATGGAATTGAACATACTCGAATGTATGCATCAAGATTTGCAGCCGAACGATGAGATCTCTGACTTGATTTTGAGGTAAATAACGTCCGATGCTTTTGAATATTTGATTTCGATATAATTGCAATAATTAATATCTTTAAATCGCCAATACTTTGCTGAGTATGCACTGATATGCTAACTTTTACTAATATCGGTCAGTCTAACTGTTATTTGTGTATATTTACCTAATTATGTTTGAATAGTGGACGAGGATGCTACTCACTACTGTTTATAGTTATTGTTTTATTTAGTATACAAATAGTAACAATTATTATTATTTTAAACTTTTAATGTCTAATAATATTGTATTTTATTAGAAGTCTTATTACACAACGCTTATCAACAACAAAAGAATCTTGAAACCCTAGACATGGAGTGATAATTTTTAACTAAGGCAAATAAATATCTTTTCTATTTTAGTGCTGAATCTAGCTTAAATATTCTATCACAATAATAGTAATAACAATGTTTAAGGGATTGTTGTTGGTGCGTGACCGTTATAAGGTCGCATTAGAATGTATAGGATGTGCATATATACCTATAGTCCAGGCAGAAGTTTTTGCCATCTATCAGTGCGCTGAAGTCAACCTCAGCCGCAACTATCGCAACCAGAGCATAGCTATTCTCAGCGATAGTCAAGCGGCTCTAAAGGCGATCTTGTCATACGAGACCAAATCGCTTTTAGTTGAGGAATGTATAGAAAGGCTAAACCGCCTGTCCTTGTGAAATGGGATGCGGTGTCGGAAATACGGCTTAAATTTTTTGAGAAGTTGGGGCTGGACGAGCAAATTGCTCGTCTCTATGAGGTAGTCTGGGGGTGAATGATAGGGTTTTTGGTAGGTGTGAATGTTCTAGAGTTAGCAAAATTAAATGGTGAACGCGTGAGCTAACCTTGAAGAGGAGGACTGTCAGGCGATAAGGAGATGCTAGTTAAAGTTAAAGAGGAAGATTGGAGGAGTTTTGTGAGAGATAATAGGAACGACCCCTGGGGTCAGGTCTATAGGATCTGCAGGGGTCGTAAAAGTCAGGATATCACCTCTCTTCGCGTCGGTGACACTCTGTTATCGTCGTGGAGAAATTGCGGGAGTTCTGTTAGGTGCGTTCTTCCCCAGGTCGGAGGTGCAGGTACCTCAAGCACAGGAGGTACCTGTCCCTCCACTAGATGATGGGGAGTTGGGGTATGCCTTTGGCCTGGTTAGGTCTAAACGGTCCCCGGGTTTTGATGGTTTGAACGGAGAGATGTGTAAAAGCTTGTGGAAGTTCATTCCGGAATACCTGGAGGCCATTTATAATAAGTGCGTTTGGGAGGGATACTTTAAGCGCGAGTGGAAAAGTGCTAGGGTTGTTCCTCTCCTGAAGTCCCCCGATAAGATCACGAGCGATTCTCTATCTTATCGAGGCATCAGTCTCCTTCCAGTACTTGGAAAAGTGCTGGAAAGAGTCATGGTGGAACGGCTTCAGGAGCTAAAAGGCTTCAGGAGGAAAGGACGCAGTATAGAAGATGCTTGGTTTTATGTTCAGGATGTCGTTAGGGAGAATGTCAACAAGTATGTCCTTGGCATATTTGTTGACTTCAAGGGGGYGTTTGACTACCTAAGCTGGGATCGAGTGGTACAACGGCTGRAGGAGCTTGGCTGTCCGGAAATTACTCTTTGGCGGAGTTATTTTTCGGACAGGAAGGCTTCTCTTGTCGGCATGAATGGAAGTGTGGAGATAGGAGTGGTTCGTGGCTGCCCGCAGGGTTCCATCTGCGGTCCATATATTTGGAACCTTATGGGGGACACTCTGCTTGGGCAGCTCGAGCCACTCTGTAAGTGTTGTGCGTATACGGACGACCTTCTTCTTATGGTCGAAGGTCGCTCGCGTTCTGAGTTAGAGCGGGCGGGAGGAGATCTCTTAGAAATCGTGAATACTTCGGTTGTAAGTGTGGGGGTGGACATATCGAGGGAAAAAACGGTGACAGTGCTGCTTAAGGGCAGATTGTCACCGGTTCGTCCACCGATTGTGGGTGTGAATGGGGTCAGCATCAGATATGTGATGCAAGTCAAATATCTGGGGTTGATTATGAGTGAAAGGATGTGTTTTACTCCACACTTGGCGCATATGAAGGAGCGACTGCAGGCAACTGTAGGCAAAATACGCCGCATTTTGAAGAGGGATTGGGGTCTCGGACGTCGTGCTGTCCGCACCATATATCGTGGCTTGTTTGTGGCCTGTGCCACATATGGAGCCCCTGTATGGTGGGAGGTAGCGACGACTGCCTGGGGGTCTCAAAAACTTCTCTGAATCCAGCGTTGCATGATGCTTGCTTGTTTGCCTGTATGTCGCACCGTCTCAACGGATGCGATGCAGGTTTTAATAGTGCACCCCCTCTTGACCTGATTGTCATACGGCGTGCTGTTGCATTCAGGTTAAGAAGGGATTTGAGTGTGTCATTGCTGCGGAACGATTGGATTTCCGACGACGATGTGGAGAGGGAGGGATATCTAGGGAGCAAGAGGCTCCTAGATGAAAGGGTTAGGCGTAGGTGGCAAGAACGTTGGGACAATARTCCTAACGGCCGAGTGACGTACGAGTACATTCGGGACTTTGGGTTCGTTGTGGATAACCCAGACTTCAGATTTTGTCTGAGTCTGGGTTTCCTCCTTACGAGGCATTGGCCTCTGAATGCATTTTCGCATCAGAGGCACCTATCAGATACGTCGGGGTGCTTTTGTGGGGCGGGGTTGGAAAATTGGTCGCATTTAATTGCGGAGTGCCCGATGTACTCGGACATTAGGGATCTGGGTGGTATGGCGATTAGCTGGACTGATGGACGATTAGATGTTAGTAGTGTGATCTCCACTAGTCGGAATACCGAACAGTTAGGGTTGTTTGCGCGTTATTTATCGCGTATTTTAACCGCGAAGGCGATTAGCTGGAAATTAGGGTTAGATTGTAGTGTGTATGTGATGTATGCATGGGGTCCAACCCCTGGCCACCAGTCCAGAGCMGTATGGAAGCTCAACTGGTAGTAGTTTCGGCTATGAGGTCTGACCGGAGACTTAATTCTGGTACCACGGGGAGCAGGAACCCTTGGAGGTAACTCCAACCAGCTCATGCGGACTGGCCCCTCGGAGAGTATCGTGGTGGTTGTGGTTAAAACCCAAATGCGGGAAGAACTGACTTTGTCAGTTGAATGTGGAGTTGCATTGCAACCGGGTGCCGGACCCAAAGCACGGCAGAGATTTTAGATGGGCCTCGAACCCGACCAAGGTGGCTAGTGTGTCCATTCCACACTGCCAATTGGTACTGAAAATGCTTGGCATTCTCAGGGCGCTGATCATCGCATTGATTTGATCCGCTTTACTTTTGAGTGCCGCGGCAGCATCCAAGATGTTGGGACCAAAGCAATACATTGCGGTAGGACCCCATACTCTTAAGGAGTTGCTCCGCACGGAGAAGAGAGAGGAGAGAGAACGGCACTGGCGGCAGGCAGCAAACATGCGCTACGCCAAGCTGCTCCTGGGAGGATACAATTTCTCCAGGTTTAAAGAACTAATCCACCTCTCCCGAGAAAAATTTCGTCTCCTCGACGACGACACCTAATTCTGGATTGCACAGCAATCTGTGGAAAAAGGCTCAAGGCCCTGGATCCTGTCTACATCAGCAGGGATCACATCACCTCACTAGCGCCCGGCAAACTCCTGGAACTATTCAGGCTGCTGGGGCTCCGGGAGGTCATGTGATATAAGAGAGGGCACAATAGACCCTAGGTCGCGATGCATTACCTCCATAACATTATCTATATATCTATCTACCTATAGTCTGAAATTTAGCAGTTTCATTATTAAAACTACAAAAATAGATTTACTGGACCCTGTAAGCTAAGATTTGAGAAAAAAAGTTTCATGATTTGAAAGAGCCTGGGTCTGCTTTCACAACCCACACATCTTAAGAATATAAAGAGCCTTTGTATAAACATAATTAACCAAAATATGTATGTATACCTGTTTTTCAGATCACACGATGCAGTCTACTATGGCTACAAGTCTGGTCGTTCTGAATTCTTTTACAAGGAAGCCGCACATTCCACCAACGGCATACCGCCACCCTCCGATCCAATGGGCAATGTAGCAATGCGCACCAAAACGCATCTGGAACGTGATCATTCATACATTTTATTTTAAACACGATAAACGTATTGGCGAAAGTAAGATTTTAAAATATTGTGTGAATGAATGTATTATGCTTTCTAAATTGTATTTTTATAATAGTGACATTTAGAAAACTAGACTAGATTTACTATTAATACTATTATTTATTACTATTTAATAGCAGCAGCCGCAGCAACAACAAAAATATGTTTCACTTAAACTCAATATTTTTAATAAAATATTTTGTCTATAGTACTCAAAACTTAAAAATTAAATGATAGACATGAAGTAAAGAAATCTTAAGAGTATAGCTGTTGCTTTTTATGAACACGACTAAAACATATTCAATATTGTTATTTAAGAGGCGCATGCAAGGCAGGCAATTTACACCAGGGATGTTTTCTGTCGCTTCAACAACAACAATAGTATATTAATTATGAAAAAAGTATTTTATAATTTTTCTTTTATCAAAAATTTAAATTCACACTGCAAAAAATTTTGCTAATTTTTTTCGTAAAGAACAGATAATCGAAGAGAATTGTTGATTTTTATTAACATTTTATTATTTAACTATTAAAATTTTTTGTCAATTTATACCAAATTTTTGTACATTTATTTATTTTGGTAATTTTGTTTGCTTTTGAAAGTAATAACTATCCCAATGTAACAAAAGCGACGGCTATGTAGCATATATTTATATGATTATTAAACACTTAAGTCCAATTAATACAGTTTAAAATTTTGTTAACTATAGACAAAGATTTTTAGAACTTTTTTTTACTCCTTTACGCCAATGGGGCTCCATATATATAGTACATACATATAATATGTGAATGTAAAAATACTGAACCACTGTTTTGTGCAATGCCTCTAAAAATTCTTGCATATTATTACTATCAAGTGCAGTAGGGAGAGAGATGAGGGAAATGAATGTAGTTTATAGCTTGAATTTGTCCATAAATGCTTTTTTACAAAAATGGAGATCTTGCAACATATATATATTGCGTCGCAATATATTGTTTGAATCTCATGTTACTACTGTGATCAAATTTTGTCTATTTCATTTTCTTCAAAGAAATCCCCGTCCGCTGAAATACACTTATGCCAACGAATGTTCCAGTCATCATAGCACTTGGAAAAATCCTCCAAGTGATGGCCATCACGCCTTCTTCGATTCAGCTTTTACATCTTTAACTGAGTGAAAACGATGTCTTCGGAGTGGTCATGTGAATTTGCTAAATAGTCAGAAGTTACACGAAGGTAAATCTGGCGAATGTGGTGGTTGCGGCACGATATTAGTTGAAAATGTAGCGAAATGATCACAAATAACCAATGCAGTATGAAATGGTTCATTATCGCACTTCTTTGTTCAATAAATTCAGAAGAATTCGAAGAATTCACGCGTATATCAAATACTAATGAATACTTTGACGTGAAATTTAACATAAATGACACTAACTTTAATACCAACTTACAAAAAAACAAGTAAGGAACGGCTAAGTTCGGGTGTCACCAAACATTTTATACTCTCGTATGATAAAGTGATAATCGAGATTTCAGGCGTGGTTGTGAACCGATTTCACCCATATTTGGTACATGTCATCAGGGTGTTAAGAAAATATTATATACC